GGCAGAGGGCACTCACAGCTCCCGAACTTGAGCGGGCAGGCGTGGGCGTCCATGGGGAAGTCCTCCAGGTGCATGGGGCACTCGGCTCGCACGGTCAGCCTAGGGCAGGACACACACGGGTTAGAAGTCCTCGGAGGCGAACCCGCGGCTGGCGGCCACCTCCGGGCTGAGGCCTGTCCCCAGGGGCGTCGAGGCGGGGCGCGCGTGCGGGCGGAGGCGTGGGGGAGAGGCCCGCCCCGCGAGGCCCTGCGGAGGCCATCTGTTCGTGGTGCGTGCGCATGCGCGTGCGCGCCTGAACCCTGGGCCTTGCGCGCTGTCCCCAGCTCTTCGGCTCCGGCGAGCGCTCTATGCCAGAGCCACCTCCCCAGCCGCGGTCACGGCTTTGAAAAGAGAAGCATTCAGAAAGTGTTTCACGCAACGTGTCTGATCTCACATGACTACAAAGCAATTTGTATCATCTTCTCCATAGCACCTGTAGGTTCCAGCCTCGGCCCTGGGTGCAGGCCACGCCCCCACGGCCCAGGCCACGCCCTCCCCTTGGTACAGGCCACGCCCCTGGTGCAGGCCACGCCCCTGCCGTGCATGGCCACACCCTCCCCTTGGTGCAGGCCACGCCCCCACGGCCCAGGCCACGCCCTCCCTTGGTGCAGGCCACGCCCCCACGGCCCAGGCCACGCCCTCCCTTGGTGCAGGCCACGCCCCTGCCGTGCATGGCCACGCCCTCCCCTTGGTGCAGGCCACGCCCCCTGGCGCACAGCCACGCCCCCCACCTCATGGTGTAGAGCAAGGTCCCGTCCTCGGTGATCCGCAGCAGCTTGTTGGGCATGGTCATGTTGTGCGCCACAGACTTCTTCCCGTTGTGGAAGAAGGTGTCCGGGGTCCAGATCTTACTGGCCATGAGGTTGTTCAGGCGGAGCACTGTCATGGGTCCTTTAAACTTCAGCCGCTCATCCTTCCAGCTTTGCCGGAAAAACACGTCTATTGTATACTCCTGGGCGGTTTGGGGAAACGGAAAAGAGGACACGGTGTCCTATCTTGCAAGGCCAGTAGCTTGCAGAGGGCAGCTGTCGTCATGCGGGAAGCAGAATAGAGGTTAGGTGGTATTTCCAGAAGGAAACTGCGGTGGCGTGGGCACACTGGCTCCTTCTTACAGACCTTTAGGGTGGGGTGTGGCTGAAGGGATAGAATGTCTGCCTAGGAATGGAGTTCAAAACCCCAGCACCACCCCAGGAAAGAAGTAACATGTAATCCCTGATATATTTCTTGAATTAAAAAAAATCCCCAATGTTCACCTTGTTGTGTATGTCAGATGAAGGTAACCTACCACACTGCAGCACTAGAAGACACAAAATGCAATGCAATGAAAAGAAAAGTCATGTTAGAAGGCAGCATGATCAAGAAAACCCTTCAATTAGGTAATCCCAGTCATAAAAGTAAAGCAGAGTGTTCTGTGGGGGCTCCGCCCGAAATTAACAACCAAATCCTAGGCAATCATAGTTTTAAAGTAGGTATAAAAAAAATCTCATCTCCTTTTTTGGCTAAGTAAACATTTTTTTCACCGATAATGTATATAGACTTCCAATCCTCCTACACAGAGAAGATTATGAAAATAAGATATCAATATCCACTGGTAATTAGGATCCCTTCCAGAGAACATGGGGGTTGTGGGGAAGAGGAGGGGAGGGGAAGAGAGAAGAGAGGAAGGAGAGAAGGGAAGGGGGGAGAAGGGTGAGGAGAGAGAGGAGGGGAAAGAAGAGGAGACACAAGAGAGCAAGAATGGAAAGAATTCAGAATGGGCCCATGTGTGCGTGTTTATGGGGTGTGTGTGTATGTGTGATTGTGTTAGATAAGTCCCATGAGAAATGTGTGAGCTTCATCATCATTCACAGCCATTTATTTGAATAAACACAGCATTCCTTATGGCAGGAGCCACAGACAGCACCTGCCAATCTGAAAATAACCAACGTGACTTCTTACCAGTGCCTAAGAATGAAAGAGTAGTACTCCTCCTTGGAATGCTTGTCTCCTGGCATTAAGTTTGGAACTCAGTGGTTTAGAATAAAGATGACCACATTCATTCATCTCCAAAGGCTCCAAACTGGAAGGAACACTAACTTGAAAACATCATGCCATGTGATTTGAATCCTCTAAACTCTGGTGCATCCAAAAGCAGCTGGTTTTGTGGGTTATTCTTAATCTTACACATACCCTCTGCAGGACAGAACTAGTGTCAAGTGTTCAGGCCTTGTGTGTATGAATTTCACTACCTGCCTCTTACCGGGGAATTAAGAAAGATTGGGTAAGGACTGAATGAAGCACTATCCTCTGGCTGAACTCCTTAACTTGTGGAGGAAACCACATTGTTTGTGGATAGTTTGCAACGTGCCAGGCATCATGCTCATTACTGAGATACCAAGAAACCACCTGACGCCATTCCATTGATGTAGGCCATGCAAGCTGCCTCATTTCTTAGGATTTTCTGTCTGGAGTTGGCAGGTGAAAGTCGCCATGATCCATGACCAGAATTTACACACGGCAAACATTTGCTAAGCATCATTAAATTCAGCAGAGAGAGAAACTATTTAGCCCTGAGTGCTGTCAGATGCACTCATGGTGGATGTGATGAGCTTGGAAGAGTATTTCCTTGGAGGAGAGAAGTGGGAGGTGGAGTAGGGACTGCACGGCCAAGGGACGGGGTGACCATTCTGGTCTGCCAGGGAAGCAGGTGGACGGATCTAGTCTGGACCCTGCATTTTCTCTTCCTCTGAACAAGAGCTAGATTTGTGGGAGATGATGTGTGACGCATTTTATCTGCTCTCCAACCGAGCCAGTCAGTCTGCTCCGAAGTACAGGAAAATGGCCACTTATAAATTAAGATTGCAAAGGTGTTCAAGCTGACCAGACCCCTACAGATCTAAACTATTGTCTCCTTTGTCTGCTTCTTCCAGGAATCTGGATTGCTAATAACATAGTTTGAATATAAAATAAGCTTAAAATAGATTTTTTATTATCAACTCTTTGGCAAAACATATCTCAAAGACAATGATTCCATTACAAAATTAGGACTTAATGAGAGTCCTAATAAATACAGGTTTAGTGTGTTGACATCAACCCGGTTTGACTCGGCTACTGGCGCACAATGAAATTCTCAAATTCATTTCAGACATTCTTTTTCTTTCTTCAAATGCTTCAGTAGCCTGTCTCTCTCCCTCTCTTCCTCTGTTCCTCTGTCTACACACACACACACACACACACACACACACAGAGAACAACACTATGAAGTAAATTTCTTTCTAATTTTCCCTCTGTTCAAAGCAGAAATAAAAGCTGAATAACATAATTGAGGGTCAGTCTCAGCCTAACCAAAAGTGTAAATACATATCTATATTATAGATATAGATAGAACTAGATATAGACATATATTTGGGGGGAGGGTCAGTTGTAGGGCTTAAACTCAGGGCTTGGGCTCTGTCCCTGAGCTTCTTTTGCTCAAGGGACAGCACCTCTTCTGGTTTTCTGGTGGTTCATTGGAGACAAGAGTGTCATGGACTTTCCTGCCCAGGCTGGCTTTGAACTGCAATCCTCGGATCTGAGCCTCCTGAGTAGCTAGGGTTACAGGTGTGAGCCACCAATGCTGGGCAAGAGGGTAATTATTTACCCCCCCCCCCATGCTGTGAAAACTGTCCTTGTGTGACCGCCTTAGCAATTAGGTGGCCCTTGGTGGCCCTGGCCAGAGCATGACCTTGCCCCAGGAGGCAGTGTGCATTGTTCAGTAGATTAACAACAGAATTGGTATCTGGACCAAGGCGGGCCAGACCCCTCTTTCATGGAGTTGGAAGGGGAGTCAGACGCCAGGGTCATGGGTGACTATGGACAGAGATTCTCAAGAACAGATCCTCAAGTACTCGCCACCTTCTCGCTAATGCTGTTTCCTAACCTATGAACTAGAGAACATCAACCTGACTGTAACTAGAAGTGGCTTCATACTGGAGAACGGCTGTACAGATTCCTAGAACACAGGAAGCGCTCAAGAAATTTTGCAGTCCATTAGTTATCTCTCATTTTATCATTTTGTCAACAAAAACTTGTGTCAGATTTGTATGCAGCGGAAAGCAAAGAGTGATTGTTTCTTTAGAAAAGCTGCAGAGCAGGAAAAACCTGAAGTAAGTGGAGAAGCAAAGCCTCCTAAAATACAGGACTTTTTGAAAGAGAGCCTGAGCAACTAGAACGTTCTGCTAAAGTACATGGTAGATTTCCGAGTTCCCATCCCCAGCCCAGGGGCAAGGCTCTCAGAGCTACTCTGCCTCCTAGTGCGGGTCCTTGGCCAACGTGAGCCTTCTTGTGAAGACTCGTGACAGTGCATCCTTATGTTCCTAAATCAATCTCCTTCTGAAGTGTTCTCACTCCACCGTGCACCGCCATCTGTGCGTGCCCAGACTGAACACGTTTTAAGCACTCTCGAAAACAGGGCCGATCACGGAGCTGTCTGGATATTTCTGTCACAACCTAGTGCCCTGGGAATTTGCTGTTTGATAGCCAATTAATGGTTTTTAAAATAAACTGAAGGAGCTGGCCTCGTTTTGTGTCCTATTCCAGATGAAGTAGGAGGCCCTGGGGCCCGGGAGTCGGGGGGAGGGGGGGCAGAGGGCGGGAAGGACCGGGCTACAGTTGGTACGATTCACCAATGGGTCACTCTGTTTTGGCAAGAGTGGATGAGAATTATGCTTGGCTGAGAGGCTTCCAATGAGGGCTTGTGAGTATGGCTTATAGAGTTCTATCATGGTGTCTTACATTATATATTCAGTTGTGGTAGACACTGTTACTGATTTTTATTAATTAGGTATTTTATTCTCACATTCAAAATGATAATACTTTTTCTCATTTTTGAAACGCATAGCTTTATCATTTTGATTTCGATCACCTTTAAATCACACTGCCCCTCCCCCTTTAAACATGACCCTCCCATCCTAGCGTGGTTTAAATGATTTGTCTTCTATAGCATGGGGAGGTGATCAGGGACAATTTCACTTGCCGCTTAGCTCATCAGTTGCAGGCCAACGCCTTATTTGATCCCTTGGGAGAATAACTCAAGCCCTGTCTGTTTCAGGCAGGGGGCGTGGTACAGGCGTGGACACTGTTACACTAGATCACACTGCACACAGAACGTCCGTTATGAGGATACCTATGGGTTAAGGTGCATGACAGATCCTAACTCTCTTTCTGAGACAAAATAATCTAATGGAGGGCCAGGAAGGTGGCTCAGTGGTAGAGCACTTGCCTTGCATGCATGAGGCCCTGGGTTCGATTCCCCAGCACCACCTAAGCAGGAAAAAAAAAGCCGGATGTGGTGCTGTGGCTCAAGTGGTAGAGTGCTAGCCTTGAGCTGAAGAGCTGAGGGACAGCGCCCAGGCCCAGAGTTCAGGCTCCATGACCAGACCCCCCCAAAAAATAAAATAATAATCTAATAGATCCTGAAATCTCAATGAATCTGAGACAAACACTCTTCAAGGGAAGAGAAAAATTTGACAGCACTGGTGTTTGAACTCAGGACTTCATGCTTACTAGTCAGGCAAGCTACTACTTGAGCCATGCCTCCAGGCCTCTTAGCTCTGGTTGGTTTTTGAGAGAGAATCTTGCTTCTTGCCCAAACTGTCCTGGACACTGACCATTAGAGACCTGTTATCTAGCACACATGGCTTTGTTGTTGTTGAGAATGGAGGTGGGCTCGTGTGAATTTTTTTGCTAGAAATAGCCTCAAACTGTGATCCTCTTGATCTCAGCCTCCAAGCTGCTTGGATGGTAAGCATGAGTTACCACACCTGATGAGGAGCTAATGTTTTAATCACAGGTGGCTTCCTTCTTACAGTTTCCGAAAATATCGATTGCTCTGTTTTGTGAGGCACCATACCACATGCCAGAGAGTGAGGTCAAATTGTTAGAGAAAACATGATATTTGGATTTCCCAAGACCTTTATTCTATTCTTTCTCAAAAGGCTCAAAACTCAGAAATGAAGGTTTGATTTATTCAGGCCCTCAATAAGACGTCAGTGCTGCTGTTGTTGTTGTTGTTTTAACAATACAGGCTCCTACACTTGTCATCAAGCACGTAATTCAATATTCAACCTAAGCCAGAAGTGCACTAATACTATGAAATTTGTGAGATGACATTATTTTCAATTTTTTGGCCTTGATCTGAGATAAGAAAAATAATGATCAAATGCTACTGGGTATGTAGCCAAAAGCCTAAATGTATCTTATACAGTCCATTTTTTTTCTCTTTTTTTTGCATTCTTTTTTTTTAATTTAATTTTATTTGTGAACATACTGTACAGAGGGGTTACAATTACATGGGCGGGAGCCTAAATGTATCTTATGGTCAATAAATATGATTAGAAAGTAAAAGGCAATGTTAGTTTATTACTATAGTTATCAAAAAGTGTTTTTACGAGGCACTTGGGTTTCAATGTGGGCCTTTGTAAAACTAAAGGTTTTAGATGAATACAGAGAGGAAATTTCCATGAAGAAGATGGGGAATCAGAGACAACTGAGATAAAAGCAATAACAGCTCATTTTTATTGAAGACTATTGATAGAGTCTTGATTTACATATCTCATTTAAATTCCTAACAATCCTACTGGCACAGGCAACCATCATAATCATTTGAGAGAATGTTGGAAATGCAATGGATTTGACCAAGATCCCACAGCCTGTAATCCTGCAGCCTGTGTTGCTACCTTAGAGAAAGCAAGCAGTTCATATGGCAAACTAATGAGGGCCGCCGGGTGCAGGTGGCTCACACCTGTAATCCTGGCTACTCAGGAAGCTGAGATCTGAGGATCACGGTTCAAAGCCAACCCGGGCAGAAAAGTTCATGAGACTCTGATCTCCAATAAACCACTAGAAAATCAGAAGTGGCGCTGTGGCTCAAGCAGTACAGTGCTTGCCTTGAGCTGAAAGAGCTGAAGAAACAGCGCCCAGGCCCAGAGTTCAAAAACAACTAGCCTAGGGCCAATGGTGCATGGTTCTGAGCTCAATGGAAGCCAGACATGACAGTTTGACTTTGGCTTTTAGCCAGAATGATTCTGCAGCTTTTATTGTGAGTCACTCTGAACTACCTTCTAAGACTTTTTGACTAACTGCTAACATAAGAAAGAGCATTAAAAAAAAAAGTTCAATTGATGTAGCTGTGAAGTATTCATAGTGGAATGTCTTCATGGCTTCTTTATGACATTTCACTTATAGTCGTTTGACCATTACAAATTCAGAAACATAAAGTATCTGCAGAGTTCTACTGATTTATCAACTCCCATCTGGTAGACTGCAAATTCATGTTGACTTAGTTGCCTTAGGGGAAAAACATGAAATATATATGCAAATATATCAAATATGTCATATATATATAATTTTATTCCCACTTCTGGTCATAATTTGCTACACTTTTTGCAATGAAGCAGAACCTTTCCTACCCGAGGGTTTACCATACCTGTTTCTCTCATGCTGCTCAAGTGCTCCCTCAACTTCAATAGCCATTTCTCCTTTATGGCAAAAATAATCCTTCAGAGACCACAGAATTAGTGGCTGTCCTGTTCTCTGTCAACTTAACACTCTTGCATCAACTTAGCCTCCTAAGTCCTGGTGTAGGATGGAAACCAAGGCACGGTAGTCATGTAAAGGACAGAGAAGAAGGGTTGATTGATCTGGGAAGCAAATGGCATACACACACGCACACCCCACTCACAGATACATTCTACTCTAGAATAGATACTAGACATGCAGAAACAGGAGACACAACCAAGCCTTCACAGATTGCTCCGTACACAAACGATTCCATAAATATTCAGTCTATATTTTCCTCTCACCACTTCAATGTAAAAACAAACCCAAAAGAACTAAAGCGGCCATCACTTACCATATCATGGTCGGAAACAGGTCCAAAGCTGGTGACGAAAATGTCCGTCTTCACTTCGGTCACGCGCTCTGATGGAGCAGGAAATTGGGCCAGTGAGTTTTTCGCAAGTCCCTCATTAGATCTCACACCACACCCTCCCACCCGAATGGGAAATTCATTGGCTTTGATTAGCTACTAAAACTGGTCCACTGAATAGTCCTGATAATTTACTGCTTACATTGGAAATTTCACAGTTAATATTTTCAGTGGAGAACAGAGGCTGCACATGTACCGCCCTGGGTACATGAATGAATTCTTCAAGAAGGGACGGACACTCTTGCTTGAATGTTACCGAATCACTTTATGTAGTAATAAAAATATGTTAGCAGGGTAATACACTTTAAATATTTTTACACAGGTTCCTCAGGCACACATAGACTGCTCTTGGGAATTCTGTAGTCGACTTTTGCAAGCTTTATTAACTCTTGAAGACCTCAAAAGTATGTTTTAGAAATGACCGCTTTCTTGTAGTAAAGTTTAACTAAATTATCCAAATTCACCCCGGGGGAAATATTGGACAACAAAGGGAAGTGTTTTTAATTTTGAAGATAAGGCAGACCTATTGTGGCATAGATTCTGTTGCACGTTCCATGTGTTTTCATTATCGGCCTCTGATGGCATATATATAAAACCAATAAAACACTTCTACTGTAGTTCTGTGACAACTCAACAGGGACGCCTTCACAGAAATACAGTCCCTCATCAAGAAAGAGAAAAATGTTGATTGCATAAAAGGGAACAGTTGGTTGAAGGGTGGCAATGTCATTTTCACCTTAGCTCCGAGAACTAACAGTCCAGAAACTCCATACATTTGCTTCTCTGGCCTGGGGTAGGATATGATAAACACAGTTCTATCCACGAGCAATAAAATCCTTTGACGGCAGAGCTGTTAGCCATCCATCTCAACTTCTCTTCCATCTTCCGTGAGGGTTCCCGCTCTAGTCCCTTCTAGATTTCTCCAACATGTATCCCTCTGTGCTAGCTAGCCCCCTCTCTCTAGGCCCATGCATTCTTTTGTACTAGGCTGGCATTTAACTAGCATATCAGGACCACTTTTTAATTTTAAAACAATCGGGAAAAAATACAAGGCTATGTCACTTATTCACAAAAACTGCATATACAAGATAAAGTTGATTTTCTCCTTCTCTTTTGGCATTTCATTTCTATATGAAGCAATAAAGCCATCACTTGGATTTTCTTTGAGATAATAAGATATACACTTATCATCGTGAAAAGGACCAAAAACAAACAAAAAACACAACAGATATGAGAGCTATGGGCATATGTTGAATCTAAATTATTTCATACCAAATATCCCCCTTATTGGAATAAGTCTGCTGCTTCATATTTATACATAGTATACATAAATTCCCTGCAATTTAACTTCTGCTTTAACTATGGTCAGAAGAATTCATACCTAATTTAATTATATTCCAACATGTAAGTCTTGATCAAACCAAATGCTTCTTATTGTGCTTTTAACAGTATTCCTTCATTAACCTCATAGTGCAAGGCTCAGTTTGAGATCTCTATAATGTATCATCTATATCCTATAGATTATAGGAACTAAAATTATATTAGTCCCTAAGTCTCCCCAGACAGGGATTAGAGTCAAATATCACTGCACATGACTTTTTTTTTAATTTGGGGAATGATAATCCTGATCACACACAGGCCCACTTTTGGCAGCTTGAGTCTGCCCTCCTGGAGATTTCTCATCAATACCTGTCTCTTGAGTGTGGCAGAATATATGCTGCACATTCAGAGAAATCCTCCGGCCAGACAGCTTTCCAGAATGACTCACTCTGTGAGTTAGGAGCCACTAGTTTGTGTTATTTTGTACGATACAGCATCATGAAGAAGAGAGAGATCAACTCACTAAATAGCGGCATGATTTTCCACCCATTAAGTTGTAGATTGCTAATAGGGAACTACATAAGAATCAAATTTTAAATTACCTAAATGGCTTTTTCTGAAGATTTTACCACCAATCAAACAATGTAAAACAAAGTTACGTTTAGATACATTTATTTCTGTGCATAATTGCCTCTGTGCCACACAGAGATTAGACATAAATGGAAAGCAATTTACATAAATGACTGGGCCTACATTTTTCAAGTCTATTTTTTTCCTATTTTATCTATCTTTGGCTATAAACTTATTTACCATACAAGTTTACCATCTGCAGATACTTCATCTTACTTTATTCCCAGCCATACTCCCTTGAGATTCTCTGAAATTCGCCACTGCAAGATTCCAATGCAAATAACCTGAACTGGGAGGAGAGGGGTGAACATCATATCATGTGTCCCTAAATGACCTTAGAGCCACACATGCACATGCATATATCATTACAGCTTCTGACTATGCTCTACACACACACACACACACACACACACACACATATTTGCTTTCTATTCTAACAAAAGACTCCATATTACAAAACTGGAGGAGGCTGATAAAGACCAAAAAGACTAGTTAACCATGAAGTGTAAAGGGAAGGGGTGTAAGGAAATGGAAAGACTTGGGGAAAAAATCATATTAAACCAAGTAAGCCATACCCAAAGAGACATAGGTCGCATTGTCCTCTCATTCGTAATCAGAATATGCCTGTAAATCTACAAGAAAATCAATGGATGGTAAAAGACAAAAAAATTACACACAGACATGAACATGGTAAACAGGACTCTAAACATTCACACGGTGAGACCAAAGGAGGGCATTCTTAGGAGAGGATCACAAGGGCTCAATAGCTGTGTGCCTCTGACCATATGAAACTATAAAACGATGTTTATCACAATGAACTCCAAGCAAGGGAACAAGAGGTTTTTGTTATTTACTTTTTGTTTTGTTTTGTTTTTATTTTTCTTCTTTGTAGCTGTTTTTGATATCTGTACCATCTGTCTTGTATGTAAGTTTACCTGTTTGGGAAAGGATAAGGGGAAAAACAGAAATGGTAGGACAAATGCAGCAGTGATACACTCACTAGACACTTGGTTGAAAATGAACTCTACAACCTGTGGGGAAGGGGGGGAAGGGAGGGAAAAACAAGGAGAAAAAAAAGAGGTGACACTGTTCAAAAAGAAATGTACTCAATACCTGATTCACATCACTGTAACCCCTCTGCATATCACCTTTACAATAAAAACAACAAATTCGTAAATAAATGAATAAGGGGAGGGGTCAGAAGCAAGGAAAATTCCACATACCACCAGTTATTGACAGATGGCAACGTAAGAGGAGGAAGACCAAACTTTCCCTATTGTTTCCCTTCTAACCCATTTCTCTTGCCACATACTGAAATAACTAGCTTTGATTTATCATCAGCTGTTACAAGGAATGTCTGGTGAATGTTTCCCTAACCTGAAAACCCTGCTTGTTCCATATTTCTGGAAACATTTTATGTAAATGTAGTCAACCTTAGTTACCTGTGCATTTCCCAAAATTAATCAGGGATCTTACTCTAATAAAACATTTTAGGAAAAAAAACTGTAGAGTAAGCTTGAGGTCAATGTAATGCATTGTGTTGTTGTTATAAAAAGCATTTTTTCCAGCATAAATTTAGGAAATCAAGTAATAGAGTTTGCACTCCAGTGTGTGCACCTGACTATGTCACCCATACTTGCAGCCTTTACAAAAGTTTATCTATAAGGCTGGGAAGGTGGCTCAGTGGTAGAGTGCTTGCCTTGCAGGCATGAGGCCCTGGGTTCGATTCCTGAGTACCACATAAGCAGAAAAAGCTGGAAGTGGTGCTGTGGCTCAAGTGGTAGAGCACTCGCCTTGAGCTGAAGAGCTGAGGGACAGCGCCCAGGCCCAGAGTTCAGGCCCTATGACTGAAAATCAATTTTTTAAGTTTATCTATAAACAATATAGTACAAATATTGTATTATATATTCTGACTCCCAATTGATATGTTTTCCCTTTATAAAGCTACAGTGCTAATATCCTGCTAATAAGTATTGAAATAATAGATGTTTTGAAGTGATCATTCAAGAAGATGATTAGTATAGGAAATACAAACAAGAGTTGCAGTGTAATAAAGTCAGAAGTGAGCACGTTGGCTTAGAAGATGCAGTGTTCCAGTTTTGACTCAGATTGTCCTTGAGTATAAGATGTATTATTTTAGGTACAATCATATAATCTTTGTGACGCCAGTTGCTCACGGTTTGAATGAAGAAATAATGCCTACAAAATGGAATGCAGATTACAGTGTGAAGGTACTTCCAGAAGTATTTTGGGGGGTTGTTAATTTAGCCTCTAAATGTTCACTTGGTATTTTCTATATGCCAGCTAGGCTCAGCTCCAGAGAAGAATAGAAAGGACGGGCATTGACCACAATGCAGAAATTCCGTTCCTTTGTATTGCTCACAGCTGTTTATAGGGAAAACATTTTAGATTGATTAGGAAGGTAGATAAGTACGTAGGTAGGTAGGTAGGTAGGTAGGTAGGAAGATACATACATACATACATACATACATACATAAATACATACATACATACATACATACATAGTAGATACATAGAGACATAGATAGATAGATAAACAGACATACAAGTAGATAGATGATAGATGTAAGTATGTATCTAGCTATGTACACAAATTTTCCTAGTGAAATTCAGCTTTCTACATGCTCTGAAAGAATGTCTTTTGAATGCTGACATTTGAGTTGAACAACAACAAAATTTCATTGATGGCTAGGTCTAAGAAAAGACCAGAAACAAACAAGACAAAGGACCTGAGGTGAGAATAAACTTGGGTTTTAAGAAAGAGCCCAGCCTATCCAGAGCTGGAGCTTCTAGCGATCACTGTCTAGAGGCAGTCTTGGCTGAAGAGGCGTTTATTTGGAAAGCAGCTGACCTTCCTAATGCCAGAGGAAGCCTTTGGGTACAGAAGTGACAGGATGCGCCCTGCGGCTTAGGAAGGTACCTGATGCTGCTGTGCATAGTGAGTGGTAAACATGGCCGTCCTAAAAGAGACCGAGAGGGAGTGACTGGAGACGGCTTGCTAGACGTTGGTTTGTCTGTCCACACAGAGGTTCGTGGGGCATGGAGGCTGCATGGACGTGTCTTAGTCACCCCTCGCAGCCACATGCATTTCAAGATGCTGCTTTCAACTAGTGCTGTTTGGGACTGGAGAACCCCCTGGCTCCCTCCCAACTCCAGCTCAGTGGCACCTCCCTGCAGCCATGTTCCCGCTGTGCCCACCGCCAAAGCAACATCTCTGCTCCTTGTCTGTCACTCATTTCTGTTCTTTCCCCTCTGGTTTTTATGTGGAGCTATTTAATTTTGCCTATAGTTAGCTAATGAGTCTAGATCAAGAGTAGACAGCCAAGTTTCAGGACATCAAATCAATCTGCAACGCTTCTGTATTTGGGGATTCCAACAAGTTAGCTCTGAGTAGGAAAGGTCAGTTTTGTTGGAGTAGGCATTTATCCCATTTTCCTGGAGAAATCACCCTTTTCTTCTCTCCTTGTAAAGGAGTGTTTTCTACCAGCAGAGGAGCCTTGGAGGAAGGGGTTTGGTTTGGGCTCTAAAAATAGGAGATGTTGTATTTCCTGGTGCAGCATTTTAGTTACGTGACAATTACATATAGCAATCTTATATATTCTCTCCCCAGGACCTCTTTTCTTTCTATTAAGTTTCTCAAAAACAAAAAACAAAAAAAAAAACCACCCATCTGTGATGATCTCATCAAGATTTACATCTCAGACCCATGACATTTTTCAAATATTACAATTCACCTTCTGCCATAAATAAGCAATTTTCAACAGAAAACATTTTCTAAAGGTCCTATACTGGTAAACCCTATTAAACAAAAAAAGATCAAGTAGTAACAGAAATCAAATGCAACTTGTTTTTTATAACACTGGCCTCTGTGAGTTGAGTATGGTCTCAGCAGCTTTCTAATATTTCAAGAAGTGCTTGGCGCTGATCAGATAGAGATGGTTATTCACAAGAGGCAAGGTGAGAGTACAGTTTTATAAACAAGCTAGAACATTCCTTTGGCTACGTCAGTGAATCTTTTAGACAAGCTGGACTCATGAGCTGACTGCGGGAATTGCTGAGTGGCTCTCCCGCTCATTTAGCAGTTCCCTTTGGTAACTTTTTCCTCTGAAACTCAGCTGAGTTACAGATTACTTAAGCACAGTATTTCTGTGTTTAAAGAAGTAGGTTGAATTAGCCAAATCTGAGCATCTCTACACCTTGCATTAAAACACAGCAAAACAATATGTTCAAAAGGAAAGATTCCAAGATTTTAACTAAAGATTTCATAACAAAGACCATTTTCTGGTGAAGGTAACAGCAAGAAGAGATTTGCATAAGCTGAACCTTTTTGACTTTCAGATACGTTGTCAGCAGAGTCTTTTTATTTTATTTAACAGTGCCATATTATGACACATCTTGTGTCTATTTTTGAAATCCTGTTTGTAATATAAATATAAAATATGTGTTGTAACACTAGTTAAATATGAATACAGTTTTTGTTTCAGATCTCAGTATCACATGAGATGCAAACTAATAATAAAAGTTTTAAGAGTATCAATCATCTTGTAAACTCCAGCTAGATCAAATTTGAATTTTAAAACGAGCATTTTACGCTTGCACGGAAATGCTATAATAAACTTTGTACAATTAAAATGTGCCAATAAAATGTACGTATCCTCCAGTAAAGTTTTACAAACTCACACAAAATATCACACAAATTATTGTTTTTGTGGCACGCTCTCAGTTTTCTAGTTTTTTTTTAATGTTTTTAGTAAACAACCTAACACGTAAGCTATCAGGAATATAGCAGAGATCAAGTCCACTCTCCGTCTGAATTTCTATTCTCTCTACCCATCAGACTGCAATGGTCACATCGTGTGGCCAGAAGAAGGATGTTGCTTATTTTTGAAGGCTTGATGCCTTCCTTGGGAACTCAGCTTTGCATCTCTGCCCATGGAGTATTTATTCCATCCCCAGAGTGCAAACAGAGCCAGTATGAACACACGTCACATTTGCCCCACATCTGTGAAGCTTAACATTATTTGATTTTTTTTTCTTTGAGACACCACTGATAGAATCACAAGCACTGAGGAGAAAACTTGGAAAAAATTAACTCAATCTTGTCTGCACAAGCGAGCCTGGAGGTCCACCCAGCAGCTCAGCCTTGGCCTCTGCCCTTCTGCTTTTCCACCCTTCCTCCCTGTCCTCTGCCTCTCCTCTGCCCTGCTCAGCTCTTCATCTTCTGTCTTTTCTGTCCTGTTCTTCTGCTCACTTTTTCTTTAACTTTCTTCTGACTTTTATCTTTCTCCTATCAAGTCTGTTATTCTTGTACATTGACCGGGCCTCAGATGAAAGCTTCTCAAAAACACGTTCAGCTCCCTACTTCTCTCCTTCGCCACGAAAACGTTTACAAGTGAGACTCCATTCAATAGTTATTGACTATTTAATTTGTATTTTCTAGCTATTGATCCTTCCAATCCATGTTTGTTTAGAGTTTTCCTTTACTTCATATTTGAAATATGAACCTGGTTAGCTTGTTTTTCTCTTTTAGCTCCTGAGGAGAATATATTAGACTCTTAGATCTCTACATACTCTACTCTATTTTACCACTCTGATCTTGAAAAAAAGAATTCTTCCTGAGTATTGTATTTTTATGTCCTACAACAAAAGTAAACTTTTCAAATAGTGTTACACTATCTCCCAATATCTTCTATCATTCTAGCTACTGGATCCAAGCTTCTCCAAAGAGAAATTTTATACCTTCTGATGCATTATGTGTTTCTGCACAAATAAGTCATGATGAATTTGCACATGGAAACATTTCTTACATTAGTCTCAAATTTCAGCTTATCACAGTTTTCTATTTTCTGAGGATATTCAGAATAAAATATCCTTGTCTGTTGCATGGTTGTTACCTTTTATGAAATCAGACTTTTCTCATAACAAAGAATATAGCAGATGTCTTTTTCTTTTAAAAGAAAGTAACCTAGCTTAGATCACAGATTTACTAAGAGGAGACTTTTACCTTGCTTAGACTCTAGATAGAATCTTTCAGGTACTTTCATCTACATAATCTTTTCATCTGAAAACAAATCATTCATGTCAAAAAATAAAAGGTCTGTTTTTCAATAGAAAGTTACTGTAATCCATGTCATCCTTAAAATACCAGAAATGTATAGGAAAAGTGAAATTAAATAATGTATTCATGAAGGAAAAAATTATTGTAATTTTAAATTATACTAGCCAGAAATTGTACTACCATGATTTTCTAATTTGATAGCTGATTCTATTTTTTTATCAATGTCTTAAAAATACATCTCATATTAAAATTAGTTTTCTAGTGATCGATAATATTAAAATACATGCAAAATATTGATGACCCCTTAATAAACACTTCTCACTTATCCTTTAAGGATTAAAGATACATTTTTGAAGCCTCTGAGACACTAATGAAATTTTACAGCTTCATGCCTACCATTAAAGATGCAACACTTTTTTTTTTAATCACTGTAGAGCTGAGGATGTAGCTCAGTCGCAGAGTTTCCTGAGCTTCACAGGGTCCCTGGTCCAGTCCCTAGCTCTGCAAATAACGAATCTGAAATCCTTGCTACCTTTTGGTTTTAAAACCAGTGTTTGCATTCTTAAGCTTCTGTGCTATCAAAATGCTCTCTTACTATTGACATTAAATAGTTTCAACAAGTAATTTGGAGACGATGTCACATCCGTGCTATTTCGGAAGCGTCCTATGCAGGACTGTGAATGCTGACTTCCTTCCTCACTGTACTGGTTTTTCCTCTAAGATCAATATTTTGATTTGGCTTCTTTATCTTTAAGTAAATAAGATTGTTTGGTTATTTTACCCACGGATAATTCAAATTAGCTTGTAATTTCTGGAAATATTTAATACTGTGGTTATATGTCTACACATTAAGCTCTAGTTTCTTCTCAAACAGAAGCTTATCAATATAACCAGTTAAGCGGTATGCCAAGAAAAAAAATCTTAGTACAGAAAACTGAAATGTGAGTTCAAATGCTTTAAAACACACGCACGCACACACACACACACACACACAAATGCCATCTCTCTCATTCACCTTTGATCCTAAAGGTAATGGATAACTTAACAGGAAATAGTAGATCGATACGTAATCTACTAAAATAAACGTTTGAAGCCATAGAATCAGAAATGTCCTGTTGGAATTCAGTGCAAACAGTAGTTCCCTAGGACGATGGCAGAGTTGATAGTCTGGAAACCAGAATGGCGTCTCCTTCCCATCCGCACAATCATAATTATTAGAGAGAAAGCGAGTAAATGTAGCCTCTTCGAGCATCAGGGTGAAAATTGTGTATCTGTCTTTCAATGCGTTTCACTAGGTGCACAACATATCAGCACATTGAATGCATATTAAACTATTAACAGTAGGAGTAATTACTAACCTACATGCTACTCTGGTACTCTTCTCATTGCCATTTAAAGGAAAGCAAGGCTGTAATTGTAATGCCTTCGTATTCTTCTCTAAAACAAAAATAGGACTTACCCCCCAATCCTGGTCTCAGGCGATTATCATAACCATCTAAGAGTCGGTCCAAAATCCTAGTGAAGACAGTGGTGTTGTCTTTAAGTTCATCTTGTAACGAGGGCTGTTCATGGCTGAGAAAAGCATAAAGAGAAGCTAGGACTCAATTATACATTTCAACCAAAACCTCTGTTCAGTTAAAACTTTTTTGAGATTTTCCCTGCTTTCTTTTCTATTGAGCCTTTGAAAATTCCTTCTGGAGAGTTAAAAGAATATCCATACTATAACCATTAGCATACCCTCTTTATTCATGATAAGCTCTTTTTTTCTATTCCTTCTAAATATGGGAGGAAAGTTCTAGGAAATGAGTTCTACTCAGACTGAGATCTAATTTCTCAGTTCTCAACGCGTTCGTTATGTTGCAATGTATGTCTTCTCTGTATCAACAAGAATGTCAACGCTGTGCAAGCAGAGACCAAAGTTTTAAAAATACCTATGTAGAAGGTAGAAGGGAGTTTTGAAAATAGTTGAGTTTGCTTTTTAATTTCAGAGGTAGCAGAACCTCAACTTTTCCCTATTAACAACCTTTTATCCATTTTCTGTGGCCTTGGGCTTTGGTTGTTGTTTTGACATGATATTTAAGAAAGAAACATTCAAAACGTATTTCTTAGGTTCATTATATTTTAATCAAGGTGAAAAGTCCCCCTTCCCCTTCAGAGTTATGATGCCATTTTAAAAAGTTGTTCAACTCTCCAGTTAATGTGCATCCTCTCTGGATGTAGGCATAGTCGTCTTTTAAAAAGACGAAGTTAATGCTCCACTGAACTGTAGCACAGTTTGTCGTAAGACAACATTCATGGGCAAAGCATGACGTAGAACTCAAGTTTGTTCAACCTGTGCATGAGACTTCATTACCATCCTTCTATAGACAAAGAAATGATGAAATGACTCATATCTAAATATTTCTGTTTGAGGTTGTCGCATATATCTCTTACCATTATTAGTCTTTCATTTACAAACTTCAGAGTGACTATAATTCAAATATGGTGTGTTTCTTGTATCAACTTTAATACATCTTTGCTCATGGAATGGTATTTTATGTAATGATTAGCGTGACACTTCCAAAATCCTTTGAGAGGAGCGTTTTCTATCTTAGGATGGATCACTCTTGGTGACAGATTTCAATGACAGCTCTGACCTTGAATTTAAAGTATGCAGGGTGTAAACTAAGAAAGGGCCACGTTATCTGTAACTTTCCATTTTCTATTCACACTTTCTTCCTTCCCTCTTGTGTGCTTCTATGGTTGATAAGTACAGGAGAAAATGTATCATTTTCAACAGAATTCACTTATTTGGTGGGAGCAAGAAATACAATCAATTATCATTTCAGAATTACTGTTGTGCAAGTAACTAATTTTGTATGGGCAAGATGCAGTAATCATTTTTCAGATGAAGTTTTCATTGAATAAGTTTTGAATGACTATGTGGACTGTATGTCTATGAAGCAGTTTTCATTCTCCTAAACAACATTAATGCCACACATTTTGTTAAAATTGAACATCTTGCTATTTTTCAAAAACTCAGATTTTCAGTTAGTTCTGTGACTTCCAGTACATCTCCCTGGCAGATGACAGCAGTAAAGCAATAGATAGTTTTCTGAATGTGATTATTTCTACAAACTCATTGTCACAAACCTAGCTGCCATGCAGGCACTTTTGAAGGATATTGGAAGGTCATCTTGATAAAGGTGGAAGAGGAATGCTAGAACACCTTAAGCCATAGAGAACTTCTAAAAGAGAACCCAAAGGCAGAAAGCAATGTGAAAGGGAAGGGGAGAAAAGGTGAAACGGGGTGACACGCAAAGTTGCTAAATTATTCATACAATCCTTGGAGCCCAGGGTCCCTATTCACCTGCGTCTCCTTTATTTTCCACAACTTATGTAAAATCCAAGTCATGTGTCTCTCTCTGTATTTTGTTGTTTCGATGTTGCGTTTGCCAATTGGCATTCTGACACCAATGCTCCAAATTAGCCCCGTCTGCCCCCCAAAAATACCAGCTCTTCCATCATATGTGGGAAGAAACCTTTCTTTTATATGATTTCCGAATCAGATTCTTCCTCGTTTGGATTTTTAATATACTATGTCACATTGTAATTGCCACTGAACCTTCGGGAAAAAAAGCTCAAGATGACTTATTTGGGAATCAACAGTCGTGCTAGTGTAGAGTGTTCCAAAATGAATATAAAATTTTGAAGCGAAATGTCAGTTGCAATACCTGATTTTGATTCCACACGAAGCATGGTATAATAAAACGCTGATCACTACCTCCACCTACAGGTCGGTACATTCGTAACACTTCATACAGTCAGAAGCACTGAAGACCACTTAACGCCTCGAATTAGGAGTACCTGACACTAATGTATGACCCGCTCCTTACAGATTTACCATGCATGATATTAAAAATAACAACAGACAACTTCTCAATTTAAAAAAAACCTCTTAAGCCCACATCTTTCCGGGTTATTCCATCTCTCTACCTTTTGTTGAAGAGTTTACTTTCCTTTTCTGGGGAAGGATGTGAGGGATTTGCCATCTGTGCAATCGACAGATTGAATTTAAGGACTGTCGAAATAGGCCACACAGTAAATATTGAATAGAAGAAGAAGAGTCTTTCACCTTTTGGACCATATTCCAGCACTTTTATCTTCTATTCTTGATTAGATCATTAGGAACTATTTCAAATGCGGTTAAACTTACACATTGTTTTTTCTCATTCACTTTTCTGGGTAGCTTAACTAGAGCTGTTTTCTAAATCCATGGTTCATATACCCCACACGTATGGCTTCTGTCATTGATGGTTTGCAGGCGTGACATACACATGCACTTATGCAGGTGTTGGCTTAAACTTTCCGCCTGCGGCTCGGTGCTCTCCACGACTGCCACGCGATTCCAGCACGCGAGGCGTGCGGACGCTCCCCCAAGTTCACTCTGCCCCAGAAACCAGCGGTGACAGTGGCACACCAGCACCGACCCGAGGGGCAGCCCGGGCTGCTTCCAGTGCCTTCTAGGGTGGAGAGGAGGTGACCTAAACTAGAGTTGGTTGAATTCCCCTTAGTCACGGATTCACCCACGGCTCATTCCTTCCCGGTGGTGGCGTGCGGGGCCAGGGCCCGGCCGCCGCGCCCCGACAATGTAAAGTAAGGTAAAGAGTCCCACCTTCTTCCCGTGAGCGCGCTGAGAAGCAGGGTCCAGGCCCAGAGCAGGTCGGAGAGGCCCGGGCAGCTCTTCATCCCCGGCTTCGGCGGCTGGAAAGTGGAGGGAGGCGCGTCAGGCCCGGGGCACTGGCGGCCGAGGCCGCGCGTGCTCGGCGTGGGGAGGCGGCCGCGCGGGC